CGAGGATTAAACCCCCACCAACGCAGAGGAGTTGGAGTCGGGGACGGGATTAAGCCTTCTTCCACCAGAGGTATTCTCTTCGCCTTCGAGAATGTAGGACTCTCGGTCGCAGAGAGTGTACACTCTCAGCAGCCGAGAGATCCCTCTCGGCTGTTGAGAGCATTCACTCTCAGCGGCCGAAAGGAATACCTCTCGGCCGTGAAGAGCATACACTTGTTAGGGGAACGACTCCCAAACCTTTTCAAGGTTTTGGAGTTCCGACTCCCAATTTGGGGGTTTGGGAGTCGGAACTCCAATTTCTGGGAGTCGTTTAACTAAGACCCAATATTTATTGCATAAAACTTAACACATTATCAATACAGTCAACTTACAAATATCTACCATCACAAATCAATAAAGCAGCACAACTCAGGAAGATACAGCAAGATGGAGTCCACCACCACCACTACTGAATCCAAGTGTTACCGCTTAAACGGAAAAAACTACGCTACGTGGGCCACAATGATGTGGGCAGAGATGTATAGCATTGGATGTCTAGCTTTAGTCAAAAAAGAAGTAGTTACCAACCTGACCAAAAAAAACATGAAGCTCTATGTTCTCATCATGAAGCACTCGGATGAAGAACATATCACAATTGTTAACAGCAATTTTGGCTTGGATAAAAAAGGAGAAGGTCCAGAATTATGGGATCTTTTCAAAAAGAAGTACGCCGGTAACAAGGCTCATCACCAAATGTTAGCTTTGGGTGAATTCATCAATCTCAAGCTCAAGGAAACTAAAGAATTTGTCAAGGAAATTCGGAGTGGCATCAGTAAAATCAAAACATCAGGATTGGATATCAAGGAGCAAGACATTGCGTTATTGATCCTCAAGAAGCTACCTAAAGAATTTGAGTCCTTGATCCAAATCATCATACAAGATAAAGAGAGCTTGAAGACAGAGGACATTATTCACAAGATCAAGCAAGATCACCTACAGTTTAAATTGAAGAAAGCCAAAAAAGTAGCCATGGTTGGCCAGCAACAAGTTCCAAAACAAACCAGCAAGTGTTACAACTGTGACATCATGGGTCACTTGGCAAAAGAATGTTGCAAGCCTTGGACCAACTACAAGTACGCTCCGCCTAGAGCAAATATAGGAGAAGCTGAAGGAATAAACACATTGTTCATAGCCATGAAGGAAGAAGAACTCAAAGAAGAAGAGATCAGTTTCTATGATCCCATAGGAACCGAGATTGGGATTTTGGAAATCTTGGGAACGATGGGTTCTACAGCAAGGAAGAGGTTGCGGCTCACCAGGTAATGACAGGAATAATCTCAGCAAACAATTCCATCGCTTCTGCCGACGCAATAATCCTGGATTCCGGAGCATCCGACCACATGTTTAACAATAAAAACGACATTATTAATTATGTTGAACACCACAGAAAGGTCGAGATAGGTGAAGTGGGAAGGAGCGTCGAAATAATCGGAAATTGTCAGCCTTATAGCCAGCTAAGCTGGCCAAAAGACTTCCTAAGTCCCCCCTTTTTCATCCATGCTCCTACTGTAACTTATTCAGATTAAGGTTTTATTACATTCTGACTTCTGAAATGAATTCCTCATGTGATTTCAACCTTAGTCACCACTACACACTGTAATATTTCACCGTACCTTGTGAAATATCAACCAAGTTGGAATTCCAACTCTCTACCACATTTACATGTTGTGATTATGTAATCCAACTCTGAAAATTCTCTCAGTGGACTCTGAAAATTCTCTCAGTGGATACTGAGTTTGCATTTTCAGGATCTTCAGACTCTAGACCAACACAGAACCACAACAACCAGATCCAGATCAAGCCATCACTTATCAACCAGAAGTACTCCACCTTTCCCACCTTTCCCACTACACAGTGTCATTGGTGTCATTAGTAAGTAACTTCTTAAAAGTTTTAGCTAGCATCTTTCTGCTTGTTCTCTTTCTCTGTCTCTCTCAACTTCTCTTTGTTCTTCATCAAACCAAAGCCCTGATCAAAGAAAGCAAGCTCTAGCTTCTACTATCTCAATTATTCCTGTTTGGTAGTACAACTGAAAACTACATAGTTTTTGCTTTAAAGAGCCTTGATCTTTGATCTAAAAAATTGTGGTTGACCTGATTCATCAATTTCAATAACCCATTTCAGTTTCTGTTGATTTGGAGGCGTAAGAGTTAGCTCCGCTTATAACAGCCATCCTAAAAAGGAAAGTATGACTGTCAGCAGCCATCCAAAAAGGACAGTAAGACTGCCAGAACTTAATCATCATCATAAAATAAATAAAGAACAAAAAGATTACTCATTTCTTCCTCTTCTTGTCTTCCCTTCTTCTACTTTTATTTCTAACCCTCTTTTCTCAAGAAATACATATAAAATAAAAAGTACCCCCCTAAACCTTGTGTCCTGCAGTCACTATAGACACCCAGGCTCACAGAAAAGGCAATGTTGTACTTCCTTCTAATAATAACACTGTTACCCTCAAAATGCATTCAATGTACCTTTGTTGCCGTATTGTTTGATTTCCCAGACATCTCTGTGGAACGTAGGGGATCAGATCACCAAAACCTACAGAGACAAATTTGAGATCACAGTAGGAGGAAAAATTTTGTTTGAAGGAAAGATCAAGAATTGGTTACCTTTCCCAAACCTAGAACACAATCACAATGTTTGTCAAATTGGCTTGGACAAACATAATCGGATGGGGCATCCTGGCGGACAATCGGACTGTGAGGTGTGTTGACTTGGAAAACAGACTGGTCAACCCTTCTCAAAACACCAAGAGAAAAACAGTACTGCAGGAGAAGAGGTCTCAGCAGATGTGGTTGGCCCAATATTGCCGGTATCAGTCGGTGGAGCTCGTTATTTCTTAACCATAGTAGATACGGCCAGTAGATATGCATGGGTAAAGATTCTAAAAGCCAAAAGCCAAGCGGAAGAAGAACTGAGTAAGGTAATCAACCAAATCAAGAACTAACTTGGAAACAAGGTCAAAAGAATCATCACAGATAGAGGAGGCAAATTTGTGAACCAAGACATGAAAAAATGGGTTGGGGAAAAATGAATCTCTCATCTCATCACCACTAGAAACACACCACAGCACAACAGGACTGCTGAAAGAATGAACCAGACCATTATGGAAAAAGCGCGTACAATTCAGATTGACTCCGGTCTACCAAAACAACTATGGGCCGAGTTGGTATCCACAGCTGTGTTTCTTTACAACTGCAATCAAAAGACTAACCCATATCTATGTATGTGGGGAACTGAACCTAAGCTCAATAGTATCCAACCGGTTGGATCAGAAGTATTATACAGTATCTGTCAGCCTACGTGATGCCAAGATATAAAATCTTCTAGCTACACGTGGTGCAAAAGCAAGCAAAAACTTAAAGGTTTTTGGTTTCAATTTTAAAGGAATAAATTCCAATAAAAAGAAAGGAATTTATGGGAGTTTTTTAGGAAAAAGTGGCCAATTTATATTAATAAAATTAATATATATTAAACCTGAGGGGCCTGATAAATCAGGGGTGGTTAGATCCCTCAAAGGTATCGTGCAAAAAGCAGAGGATTTAGGTACCTGGTACACTGGGGCCTGTAAACAGGGGTGGTTTAAATCCCAGTAAGAAATAATACGGAAAATCTCAAGAAAAGGGTTATTACTCACTAGTAATAATCCTGTAGGGTCTTGAGATTCTTCAGAGTAGAAACTGAGCAGTTGGAAGCGCTCAAAAAGGTGGATTTTGGGTGCTGGGTGATCACTGGGGAGTTTCTTGAGGGTTCTTGAGGCTTAATAACAGCAATTTATAGTAGTAACTAGGCTAATTACAAGTGTAGGGGACTTGTAAATGGTAAGTAAATTTCTATAAGGTATTGTAAAGCTGGGGGATCATTATTTAAGCGGTCAGAAGGCCCTATAAATACCTGTGGAAGGCCTCAGGGGTTGCTCAGGGGAGCCTAGTAGGTCTTGGGAGCGCTTTTGGGCCCATTTTAGCCCACATGGTGACGCAACAAGGGCTGAAACCTTGGGGATAATATTCTAGAAGCTCCAAGGGGTCATGCACAAATTTATTTGAACCAAGAATATCTTTTAGAAGCCTGTGGGTAGGGGTTAGTCTGTTACGTGGAGCTATTTCCTTGGAAATGGGCCACAGAATATGCCAGAACTGGTTTCTGGGGCTTGTTACACGTGCTACAAGCTGGAAGATGGAATATACAGAGTTACTGTAGTATTTTCATGAATATTCTAGTTTGTTTATATTTTTATTACACGTGTGGGGGCTTTGTTGACACGTGCACAGTGAGTTTCTGGGGCTTTGTGGCCCATTTCCTTGGATACTGGTAACCCAGAGGGGGTTATGCATGTATCCAAGGCGGGTAGGCATACCTAGCACGCGCGGGGGCTTGAGCCTTGGGCTCAATTGTAGTCAGGCGGGCCTGTCAACAGTGCACAGCATGACTGCGCGGCGCGCGGGCTTGGAGACAGTACACGCCACGCTGGTCTATCTTCCAAACTATACACAACACTCCAAATCTGAGACAAGATTTGGAGTATATGCATATTGTTATGTATAATGCATAATTATTCAGGTGCCCGTGATCCATGGGTACCTGTTAATTCTTTAAGTGATAATTACAGGATGAAGGGGTTACAATTAGGGGTACCTTTGGCTGAGGTACCCTAGTTTAAATTGTACGTAGATTCAGAATTTGTAATAATAATTAAAGTTTTCTCTATTCTTTCTAAGTTATTTATATATTTTAAGTGTTTTTATGTTGTTTACATAAGTAAATTAGTTTCTTTTACTTATGTAATATTTTTACTTTATTCTTAGATTTTTTATGTAATTTTATTTTTATTTTGCTTATGACAGGTTGTCTCTGCCATAGTAGCAAGCTGACAGTATCCATCACTTTGAAAAGGTTGGAAAGATGGACCCTTGGTGCGTGAAGGGGGTATTGATTGGCTTTGACAAAGAAATGCAGTCTTACCGGGTGTGGAACCCAGACCTCAAAAAAAGTTGTTCGATCAATAGACGTTGCATTCAGCAAGCATGATGACAACCTTGAAATCTTTACCAACAATTTTGAACCGGAACCAAAATATGAAGTAGCAACTCACAAAGAGGAACCTGATACTACCCGACCAACTATAAATGCAGGGGGGGATATATTGGAAGTAATCATTGATAGTCAACAACGGTGAAACACATATTAGCTGGGTATTGCCTATGAATACCACCCAATATTTGGGCTAAGTATAGTATTGGGCCCCCGGCTCAATGATTTTTATTCATGGGCACATGTATTCGGCAGCAAATAGAATAAACTTTATTCATCATTAATCTATATGCCCGGCCAATAAAATAAAATATTATAGCTCACTATTATTGGGGTTTAGTGGTCTGGCTTTCAAAAACCATTGATCAGCACCCCTCTTGCAACACAGAAAGAGACAACTCACCAAGTCAAATCAAAATAGTAAGATAAATAAGTTTTTTTTGATCAATCAACAAACATGATTGGTGATTTCTAATGCTTGTTTTTCTTTTTTGGATCAAGCAAGTAGTAGTCATTTTGTAGCTTTTCATTTGACTACAGAGGCTCCGATTGAGGCCATCAATCCCAAAGCCCCGTCTAACCCTCGCTGATTGATTGAGGCGATTGATCAATGGCCCCTTCATCTCCTGGACCAATTGAGGCCATTGATCACCAGGCCCATCATCTCCTTGAGCTGATTGATTGAGGCCATCAATCAACGGCTCCATCTGATTCCATCTACTTGTGCTGATTAGAGCTGGTCTCTGGATATCTGTTATCCGCTGGCGGATACCCGCCCGCTGTAGCGGATACCCGCCAGTGGATGCGGGTTTGGGTGTGGATGTGCCCTTTCCGCTGATTTTCCAGCGGATACCCGAGGCCGGAAGGGCAGATGGCCGGCTGGAAGGGTTTCCTTCCAGCTGGCAAGGTACGTGTACCTTGACAGCTGGAAGGAAATCCTTCCAGTCAACGAGGTACATGTACCTCGTCCACTGGAAGGAAACCATTCCAGCCGGCGGGTACATGTACCTTGCCGGTTGACTGGAAGGAAATTCTTCCGGTTGACAAGGTACATGTACCTCGACGGCTGGAAGGAAATCCTTCCAGCCAACGAGGTACATGTACCTCAACAGCTGGAAGGATATCCTTCCAGCCGTCAAGCATGTACCTTGCCAGCTAGAAGGAAACCCTTCCAGCCAACGAGATACATGTAGCTCAACGGCTGGAAGGATTTCCTTCCAGCCACCTTGAAGGCCCTTTAAAAGGCGGGTATCTGTGGATACCCGCTAGCGGATGCGGATGGCCATTTGGCCGGAAAAAGCAGCCGGATATCCGGATGTGTAGCGACCAGCTCTAGTGCTGATTGATTGAGGCCAACAATCAAAACCGTACGATTCCCCTCCAATTGCTTGAGGGTTTCATTAGACGGCCGCCGCCCCAAGCCTCCTCCAATCGCGCTGACCTATTGTGATTGAAGGTTTCATCTGACGGCTGCCGCCATCAAGCCCTGTACGATCTCCTTGATCGAGTGAGGGCATCAATCAACGGCTTCCGCCACCCGTTCCCCTCCAATCACTTGAGGGTTTCATTCAACGGCTGCTTTCACCGAGCCCCGTCAATTGATTGAGGGTATCAATCAACAGCTTCTGCCACCGAGCCCCCTCCAATCTCGCTGCTCAATTGAGGCCATCACTCAACAACTTCTGCCACCAAGCCACCTCCAACCTTGCTGATCGATTGAGGCCATCATTCAACAGCTTCTTCCACCAAGCCCCCTCTAACCTTGCTGATCAATTGAGGGCATCAATCCAGGCTTCTGGAATCTGCCACCCAAGCCAATCCGATCTCCCTGATTGATTGAGGGCATCACTTTGGCCCCCAACCTCAATCTTCTGTACAATCTGACAGACACAAACCAAGTGTGAGTCACCTGTACTTCTGTTGAGTAGTGAAATGTCACTTACATGTGACATTTTTTTGTCAGTGAAACATCAGTGTGCTCCAACACACTTGGAACATCATCAACTAGAATTCCATATTGCTTCACCATCTCATCACATCACATCACATCATCTGTGAAGACTTCAAAAATATTCAATTGGACACAAGAATTCAAATCAGTTTAAACTTCAAGTCAACTACTGGCTTAAGGATCTTAAGGTCATCTCAACTCATCACTGTCAATTCATTCTACAAATGTTTGTTCTTTATTACTTTCATCCCATTTCATTCACCCCAAATTTATTCTTCTTATTTTTTTTCTAATTTTTCTTCATTAGAGCAATCAAATCTTCATTTTTTTATCTTTTGATGGGTGCTGCCCCCAAGCCTCTGTCCCATCATCACTGATTAATTGAGTATTTTGTTTGATTGGTTCTGCCACCAGTGTGGACACTTGGACTGTTAGTCTCTACGGCACCAACATCCTCATTTGTAGCAGTGCTGCTTTGATCATACAGACATGGCCAGATCCTCTGTTACTCCTCATGGAACCCCCTCTCAACTACCCTCCCGCCAGTCTACTTGGATTGTCACTCCGACCGCAAGCTCTAGCTACGTTAGGCCTAGCCGCAACTTGCAAAGGTCAGTTGGACCAACTACCCAATCTCAAAGACAGGGGAAGAGTCTTGGTTCCGAAAGCGAAGCAGAGTCTGTTGTCCAAATCCCACCCAATCAGCAATCCAAGAAAAAGCGCACACGTAAACCTCCTTCAACCAAGCAGCGCAAGGCCTCCATCACTACCAACACAGATGATGATTCTGACAAAGTGGACGGTGTCATTGATCACACTCAAGATTCAGACAAAGAAAACTCAAAGGCCCTGGGACCAAGCAAGAATAAAACTAGCTATGACAATATCCGCGAGTACTTTGGGGCCCCATTTCATGCTAAAGAAAAGGACAAAGTAAGTTTCTGCATTCTGATCAAACATAGAGAATCATCAGATAAAGTTACTGATTATATAATTTTCCTTTATTAAGGGAGATAAACTGAGTTTCAAATAGTACCTACAAGAAGGGTGTTGGAACAAACTCAAACCTGCTCAAGTACCGCAATGGAACTAAAAAGGGTCCACACTGCTCAGGACAATCAGCGGCCATTGAGGCAGGGTGCAAATTGACATTGTCAAAGAAATATATTGCAGGGAAGAACAATGATTGACACAGAACAAAGTTCAAGGGATCTCTGACACACGCAGCCTTTGACAACAGGGTCTTCAATTAACTCCTGTTAATCTGGCTGATTCGATATTCTATGCCCTGGAACCGGTTTGACGACTGCCTACTTCAAGTCACTTTCAATTACGTCAGGCAAGGTGTCTCCATCTATTCTTGGACTTGGGCCGCCACCGAGGCACATTGTCTCTATATGAATTTACAGAGCAAAGTGATTACAAGCTTACAAGTGTGTGGATCCCTCAAAGATATCTGTTATTTGGAAGCACTCATCTGACTTTGAACATGATTCTGATTTTCCAGAAACTCAGCTCTAAATTTGCCCTGATTCACGATGTTTGGACCACTAAAGGCAATCACCACGCATTCCTCGGGATCTCAGTTGCTTACATCACTGATGATTGGATCTTAAAAATCTTGCATCTTGGGATGAAGTACATTGCATCCAGCCACAAGGGAAAACTTTTAGCAATCCCATTTGCAAACATTGTGAGGAAGTCAAAACTTCAAGGGAATATACGTCCAGTTCCTTTTGTAATGTTTTTTGCTTGTCTGATCAGATGAACCAACACAATTTTATTATTTCAATACATCTTGGCTCAGACAACCAACTCTGGATCAAACAACTTCACCATGGCTTCTGAGGTTGACAGGCTCATGGTCAAAAATACTGGCATCAATCCTCACCTTTCCGAAAACCACATCCGGTGTTTCTGCCACAAGATCACACTCATCCTTAATGCAGGTCTTAAATCAACTCAACTACCAAACAGCGGATTGCTTCCATCACAAATTGAAAATCTTGGCTTTGTCCCCATACTTGCCTCAATTTTTGAAGAGTCTGAAGCGATTGAAGAAGTTCCTCAGTTTACTGTTGAGGATGTTATCTTAGGAGCGGACAACAATTGCCCAGTGGAACACAAGGCCAATGAATAGGATGTAATAGATGGAATGGGTAGTGCAGACCCGGGATCCTGGGAAAAAGCTGAAGGAGTGAATCCACTTGATAAAATCTTAAAAAAGGTAAATCAATTACTGCATGAGTTTGAATCTTTCTATGTTAAATTAATTTTGATTGTTACTAATTTTAAATAAACTTATTTAGGTTGAATTTGTTATTCAGAGGATCACATCCTCAGAAGTGAAACAATCCAAGTACAACACTTGGTCAAAAAAGCTTGAGATCAATGGACCTAGCCTTATTGCTGGGTATGGTATTTGCTGGAACATAAAGTTTGAAAGCCGTAATCGGGAGTATCAATCTTTTCAAATGATCAAAAAACTAATTGAGAATGAAAAGGATTGACAGGAACAAGAAGGGGGGAAGAACTACTATAACAACACCGAGATAAGTTGAGATGAGTGGGAAGTAGTCAATCAATTAAAAAAATTCTGGTTGTAAGTTAGTCTGTCATTTCTCAGCAATTCCCTGTTTTATTATCACTAAAAAATAAAGGGGCTTGGAAAAACGACTCCTAAAAATTAGTCGACGACTCCCGTTTTGGTCGGGAGGTCGTTGAACGGGAGTTGTTCTTCCAATTCCCCCAAAAAAAAGGGGAGTCGTCATCCTAATTTCAATGGTGATTTTTTAATTTTTTTTATTAAAAAAATGGGAGTCGCCCGCCTAAAGGGCGGGAGTTGTCGTACCAATTTAGCCAAATATTTTTTATTTTTTTCATTAAAAAAATTGGGAGTCGTCCGCCTAAAGGGCGGGAGTCGGCGCCCCAATTTATCCAACTAATCTAGACGACTCCCGTCTCTCGGGCAGCGACTCCCTCTCCGGCGTGGACGACTCCCGTCCCGGCGGCGACGACGGGGGTCCCCGGCGTGACGACTCCCGTATCTCGTGCAGCGACTCCCGTCCCTGGAGCGACGACTACCGTTGCCCCAGCGGCGACTTCCGCAATGACTCCCGTGGCTCCTGCGGGGATTCCGACCCCGATGACGACCGACTGTTCCGGCTGGTGCCCGTCGGCGGTGACCATCGGCTGTTCCGGCTGGTGCCCGTCGGCGGTGACTTTCGGCGGCTCTGGCCCGTCGGCGGTGACCTTTGGCGCCTCTGGTCCGTCCTTGGTGACCTTCGGCGGCTGTGGCCTGTCGGAGGTGTCCTCGGCGGTGACCTTTGGCGGCTGGGGCCCGTCGACGGTGTCCTTTGACAACTGGGCGGCAGCCTTGGCCGCGTCAAGCGAGGGCTGGAGCCCGTCGGCGGCTTCCTTCAGTGGGGTGAGCGGGGATGGTGGGGTTGGACATGATGTGGTTGGTTGGGTTGTTGGTTGCTTGGGTGGTTTGTTGGTATGGGTAGTTGGTTGGGTGGTTGGGTAGTTGGTTGGGTGGTTGGGTGGGTGGGTGGGGAGTCGGTGGGTGGGGGGAGTGGATATCGGAGGAGGGGAGGATATGGTTGTGGAGCGGCAACTCCTGCGTGGGAGAAGAAACAAGGTTTCTTCTCCCCAGCCGACTCCTAGGTATTTTCCAACGACTCCTGCAAGACGAAAAAAAAAAAAAAAATATCAAAAAATTTAAAGATCAAATTTGGGAGGCCGACTCCTGCCCTTTAGGCGGACGACTCCCAATTTTTTTAATGAAAAAAAATCAAAAATATTTGACTAAATTGGTACGACGACTCCCGCCCTTTAGGCGGGCGACTCCCATTTTTTTAATAAAAAAAATTAAAAAATCACCATTGAAATTAAGACGACAACTCCTCTTTTTTTTGGGGGAATTGGAAGAACGACTCCTGTTCAACGACCTCCCGACCAAAACGGGAGTCGTTGACTAATTTTTAGGAGTCATTTTTCCAAGCCCCAAAATAAATGTTTGTGATTCATTTTGCAAAGGAGTTCTACTTTATCACCAAGAAGATGGAAGGTGACAGCTCCTCTGCTTGCTTGATGATCTCAGAGTACCAGCACATCATCACATTCATCAATAAAAACCTTGCTAGCTCAACTCAACCAGAATTTAAAACCATGCTTGCGGCCATGCTAAAAAAGACAAAACCGTATCTCAATGAGGCAATGAAGTGTGATGCAGTACTCATAGCAACCATACTCAATCCCAGTTTCGGCCTTTCAATATCCAAGGTCTTGTTTCCCAGTCACTATGATTATGCTTGTGACTTAATCTACAAACTCTTTGAAACCTGGAATTCTCAAGTACATATTGCTTTATCAAGCTTGCCAGACAAATCCACTGAACTCATTGGAACAAAAGCAAAGGAACCTGGATTGGGAGGATTATATTGATTTCTTTCCTGAGAAAGTCAAGGAACCTTTGGCAGACAAGCTTGCTATTTATCTAGATGGTAAATACAAGCTCCCATCCTCTCAAGTTAGTCAGTGTTTGGAATGGTGGAAGGTATGTTTATTTCCTCCTACTTCACTTGTATTATAATTCTAAATTGTTTCTTTGAAAGGACCATGGCAAGGAATTAACAGTCTTTGGCCTTCTGGCCAGGGACTACCTGGCGTGTTCAGCCACTTCCGCAAGTGTTGAGAGATGTTTTTTGGCTGCAGCGGATACTTGTGGGGGAGATCGAGGTAGCCTAGCAGCAAAAACAATAGAACGGTGTGTATGTTTGCACCAATGGTTGGTCCAAGGGGTGGAGCCAGATGGCGCTTTTGAAACTGCACAGAGTATCATCACTCAGGCAATGGAAGATAAGGCCTTTGAATAATCAAAGAGTATCCCTGATCATTTGAAGGATCAAATTTTTCCTAGCTCAAAGTTTTCTCATCTCTCCCTATGTAAATTCCCTTGCGCTAATCTCAAGACTTTATTTCTAACTTCACATGTAACTTCCCCCACTTGCAAAAAAATAAAAAAATAAAGAATAAGTGAAGTTAACACAAAATAAATTGAATACCTGCGATACTGTGCCAATATTTTATTGTATTGGCCAATACAATATATTCAAACAGATACAATTTATTTGTTTGCCAATAAAATACTTTTTATTTTATTGGCAAACATATACAATATATTTATTAAAGATAATTTTTATCTGGAAACCAATAAAATAGAAAATAGGGGCTTGGAAAAACGACTCCCAAATTTTAGTCGACGACTCCTGTTTCGGTCGGGAGGTCGTCGGATGGGAGTCGTTCTTCCAATTCCCTAAAAAACATAGGGGTTTGTGGCACTAATTTTACCTGGAGAATTTTTATTTTTTTATTAAAAAAATAGGGAGTCGTCCGCCTAAAGTGTGGGAGTCGGTGCACCAATTCTGCCTCATGTTTTGCCCTTTTTTATATTTAAATTTGAGGGAGTCGTCCACCTAATACAAGGGAGTCGTCGCACCAATTCCGCCTAATATTTTGCCCTTTTTTATATTTAAATTGACGGGAGTCGTCCACCTAATACAAGGGAGTCGTAGCACCAATTCCGCCCAATGTTTTGCCTTTTTTTTCTATATTAAAAAAAGACGGGAGTTGTCTAACTAGAAATGGGAGTCGTCGCCATATGGCACCCTCAGAGACTCCAAAAAAAGGTTGAGCCACTGAGGCCCCACCCCAAAGGCAATTTATCAATGATAAAAAAATTAGACTGATTGAGAAAAACCATTGCAAGAGATAAAAGAGATGACAAACGGGCCAAAAACATTCAAAAATTATCAGAAATGTAAGAAAAAAAAAAACAGGGTAAAAAAGGACATAGAGGAAAAAAATCAAAAACTAAAAAAGACACAGGATAAAAAAAACCCTAGTAGTGTTTCATTGGATTTTCTATTTTCCTCTCTACAGTCAATTCAAAAGAATCAGAAAATTGGGCTTCCCATCCCCAAGCCTCTTCTGACGCCTTTTCTTTCCACACCTTCATGAGCTGAGGGGCAGGAAACAGTCTTGGGTTGTGTAACTGCAAGGGGAAAAAATGAGAAAATTCATGTAGAAAAGCAATAAAAATAGGGGTGTTGTCATTGGGGGGGGCAGAAAGAAGGAAGAAAAGTCTGGCAGAAGGTGTCAGAAAAAAAGCAAACAGGCCTCTCAAAGGCGTTTGTCATTACCTCACCCGTCGAAGGCATGGACATCCAATGAGGCTTTGAACAAGGTGATGGCGAATCAACCTTGATATGATCCAAAGCGCCGTGGAGTTTGTGGAACACGTTTCGATACCAATCAGGCCGGCGAACAATTTCATTGTACAATTCATATCGAACAACCATATAATCGCCCTGCCCACGTCCCAATGAGTAAGCCACAGCTCGGAATCCGCAGTGTCCATCTGATCGAACATCCAAAATATCCCGGACATCAGGTTGAATAATTTTGGGTAAGTACTGAAGGTAATTGAGATTGGATGGGGGAATTGGGAGATGGGGGTTAGATGGACGTGGGGGAGGGTCTAGAAGCACCAATGGGGCCGGTTTGGTGGAATTGATGGGGGACGAGGGCACGGAGGCATCGGCAGAGGAATTGACTTTGAGCTTTTTCTTGTTGGCTTGAACGGGGGAGGAGGGAGGGGAGGATTCAGGGGCGGTTGCTTTCACGTTCTTCTTGGGGACGACGACAACTGGTTTGGTGGCTCCTTTCCTGACTGGTTGAATCCTCTTCTTTGGGGCCTCTTCTTCCTTCTTCTTTTTGCTGTTGTCCTTCTTCTTTTTTTCCTGCTCTTTCTTCTTCTGATTATCTTCTTTGGTCTTCTGTTTCTTGTTCTTCTTGGCGGCTTTTTCTTCAAGTTTCCTCTTTTTGGCAATGTGTTTGAATTCTGACGGGTCCCGCGTTGTTGATTTGGGTTTTTTCAGAGCTCCTTTGGGTCTACCTTGAGTTGATTGCACCTGCTTCGGTAACTGAAGGTCAACAACGGTGGCAGAGCCGTCCAGAAGTTGAGAGATGGCGTCAAGCTGTATGGTTAACGTGCTTGGGTTTGTTTGGAGGAGCCTTTGCTTGACAGATTCGATCTGGTCTAGGGCTTGTGGGTTGTTTTGTCCCGGATTGTTTGTTGGTTGGATATCCTGTTGTTGATTAAAAGGAAGCACAATGTTATTAAGGACTCTAAGAGTAGAAAAATTAACCATAATTAACAAACATACGTGGATATGCCATTGTTGATGAAAGTCTTCTGGTTCCAACTGTCCGCCTGACCAAGCCAACTCTGCTAGGTGATGTTTACACGGAATACCTGTCCGGAGTCGATGAAAGCCGTTACAATGATCCTTCTTCCCGAGGGTTGCTGATATGCGCAGGTTGTTTTGTGCCTTCCTCAGAGCAAAATGGGTGATCCGGCCAAGGCAATTGTCAAACAGGGAACCGAGATTCATGAGAGCGTCCATTTTTTCCTGGCGGTGGAGGGAGCTTATGTTGTGTACTTGGGTTTCAATCGCGTTGGTGATCATTTTGATGGTCGAGTTGAGGGATTGATTGGGACCAAGGAGATGAGATTTGACAAAGGAATGTGAAGATTCGATCCGAGATGTGGTCCGGTGATCAAAATGGGGCACTTCCCTCGTCCAGGCGTTCGCATATTTCTCCGCAACTGGGAGCCAGTTGGAGCGCATGTAATTGCCAAATTTCTCGCCATAACTTCCAGCAAATCGGTCAAAGGCGGCCCTGAAGTCGCCGGTGGTTGTGATTTTGATGAGATTATTCCAGTGTTGAATCATTTCAGCCTCCTTCTTGTTGTCCTTGATCATTTTTTCCCCGTTAGAAATCAGGTTTTTGTTGATGTGCCAGGTACACAGTAGATGAGTTGCGGTGGGGAAAACGGAGTTGAGACCATTCATAAGGGCTTGTTCCCAGTCGGTCAGGACTACCTCAGGGATAGGAATATTGTTGCTGGTGAACACGTTCAGCAGATATTCAAGAGCCCATTTGTAGTATTCTTCGGTTTCTTTGTGAAGGAAAGCAAAGGCGACACTGAAGGACTTGTTGGATCCAGTGACGCCAGCAATGTGGAGGAGGGGTGTCAGCCTGGGTGATGCCAAGAGCTAGACTCTTCTAGCTACACCAGGTGCAAAGCTAAGAAAAATGGTGTACAAGTGTGGGTAACACTTGGAATGGGGAGGTAATTGATATTAAGAAAAGAAATAATAAAAACTGTTAAGTTTTTATAAAAGGAGGGGCCTGAGTTACAGGGGTTTTTAAGGTGCCCTCCAAGGAATCAGGACCTGTTAAACAGGGGTATTTTTGATGTAACTGATTATCTGGTCCTTTGTGTAAAGGAGTATGCCCAGACAAAATGCCTACAACTGAAGTATCAAGGAAATATTACCTACTTAGTACTATTTCCAAGCCAAGGGGACTTCAGGTGGGTAAAAACTGGTCTGGGAGCGCTCAGAAAACTGGGTAACAGGTGTTGGAAGAGTGCTGGGGAACAGTTGATGGTTGGGTTGGTGATATCCAAGACAGAAACAGCAGGAACTGGGCCAAAAACAGGTGAAAAACTGGTTGTTGGAGGTGGTTATTGCTGGTAAGTGATGATGAAGATGGGGAATTTGAGTTCGTGGTCAAGAAGGGCTCCTTATATACTCATTCTGGGCCCTTGGAGGCGAACTAAGAACTCTGTTTGGCTGGTGCAAGCCTCCTACTAGGCATTGGTGACCTGTAGCACTGCCTAGACACCTGTAGTCCTTGGTTACAGGTGGCAGAGGGCTGAAGTGAGGCTTTTAACACACACTAAGGGGTGCTGTGACAAACCTGCAGCCATGGTTTGGTCACTGGGACCCTTTAATGACCAGTGGGCTGGTCTTAACCAGGCGTAGTTAGCCAAATTGGGCCAAAAAGGGCCACAAATGGCTTTTGACCAGCCAGTTACAGTTGTTGTGACTATGTAGTTAAGGTTTCAATAATGTCAACCTTATTTGTAGATTTTTCTCGAACTGCATGAACCTTAATTACATGTGTAGACCTGTCACAACATGTAGTATGATGTAACTGGGAGGGTTTTTAGCAAAATGAGCAAGTGTCACTCAGAGTACACAGAAGTACCTGAAGGAGTAATAATTCCAGGGTACTTCTGGTGAGGTACCCTAGGTTATTTTGCATGAGAATTAAGGGCGCGTACCACAGCGCTTGCCGATTTGAAAATCGATTCTGGGCCGTTTTTTTTTGCGCTTTTTTTTAAACAGGTTCCAAAACTGTCTTTTCCAAAAACGCGTACCACAACACACTTTTTCACTTCTTGCTTGCTGCCACTCTCCACCATCATCTCACCACCTCCACCATCTCCTCATATTGTCCACCTTCTCATATCTCTCAAATGTCAACCACTGCAACCACTGCATCACAATTGATGCTCTTGATCTCGGCCGCTGCAGCCATCATCATCCTTGATTACTATTTCCCCGATGGCACCCCTTATTATGGCGATGGTGGCAAGGCGCGATATGTACAATTCCTATTGAACGATGCACGGCCGGAACTCTTCCGCGAGATCACGGGGATTGAACGTACAACCTTTGATCATCTGGTTTGTGAAGTTAAAGAAGCCGAGCTCCTTGGCGATGGACGATCGGTTACCGTTGAAGAGCAGGTGCTCATGTTTCTTGACATTACACGATACAACAACTCAATGCGACAAACGGCAGTAAAGTTCTGCTGTGGTTTATTCACTGTGAATCGGTAAGTATGATCTTCTTTCAATATATATAAGCAAGGCAAGAAGGCAAATCACTGACATCTGTTTGATTGTTTACATTTTTTGGAAAAAGGTATTTTGAAGAGGTCTTAGAGGCCCTCTTCATGTTATATCCAAGATATATTAAATTCAACTCAACGACAACGGCCCTCCACGACTGCATCAAAACCCAAGCAAAAATGAAGCCGTTTAAAAACTGTCTTGGGGCTATTGATGGTGTCCTAATCCCAGCACATGTCCCATCAAATATCCAATCCCCATGGCGATGTCGAAAGGGTTTTTTGTGTCAGAACGTCTTGGCGGCAGTTAACTTCGATTTCGAATTTGTATACATCCTCGCTGGCTGGGAAGGAAGTGCACACGACACTCGAGTATTTAACGATGCTACTTCCAAGGGCTTGAACATACCTGACAAAAAGTATTTTGTTGCGGATGCTGGCTATGGATTACAGCCTGGATTGATGACTCCTTATCAAGCAGTTCGATACCATCTCAAAGAGCAAGCAGCTGCCGGTCTTCGCCCATCTACTCCAAAAGAGCTCTACAATTTGCGACACGCATCACTCCGGATAATCGTCGAACGACTATTTGGGGTTTTCAAAAAGAAGTTTTCCATCCTCAAGAGTCCTCCAGAAATTGAGCTATCCAAACAAATACGCTTGATCTATGCCCTCTGCGTCCTATGGAACTTCATCCGAAAACACGAATCCCTAGGCTCGCTTCTGCAAGAGATTGAAGAATATCAAAAAGAAACCGGTGAATATTTCAAGTCCTCCGACAACTCTTTGTCCCCGGCAGTGGAGGACGCCCACATGAAGATACGACGTGATCGCATTGCTAGGAAGATGTGGAAGCAATAAATTGATTATAATGCCCAAAAGACATCAATGGCTACCAGCCGTACTTGATCAAATTTGCATTGTTTCTCTTCTGTTTCATGTTTTTTTCCTCTTTCTTCTTACATACAAGAACAAGTGAAATGCAAACGTACCTGTCCTGCTTTTGAAAAGAAGTCAACAAATTAAGACCACGATGTACTCCCTTTGCTTGCATTGCCAAGTGATCACAATTGCTTGGTGTTTGATTGCTGGCCCCCACTGTGAATCTCACAACCTCTCGAGGCCTTAGCAAACTCGACAATCAATCTGTGTTAGGATGCCAACCAAAGTGAGCCATTCCGATGGTTTACATCAATAGAAAAGTATGGGCTTGATCGATCGATCAATCGATCGATCGACTGACCATTCACCCATGAAGTCTTGACCGTTAAGGTCATGGACTGCATCATTCTACATGAACTCAATTCCAGGCATGATTTGAACATCCATCAGAGTACCGGAAGAGTTGATGATGATGATGATGAGTCACTAGAAGGATCTCTTGGAGAAGAGACAGATACGATTGCCCGATAACAGTGATTGCTTGAACATCCAAGCGATTATATTTGTTTTGATCATGATCAATCGCTTTGAAGTTCTTTTGAAGTGATTGTTCTGAAGATGTTTTGAAGTTGATCGGTGGCATTGCATTTCCAAAGATCAGTTAAAATAAAATTGTAATGGACACTTCGATTTCATATGATTTCGACCCCCAGTGAGCTTATTGATCAGACGAAAAGAATAAAATTAAATAACGGTGAGAAGATTGTGATGAGGATAAATTGAACTGATTGATCAGGAACAAGCAAAATAAACAATAAAATAGATTCAATGCCCATGAACTTGGCTTTCAAGCCACATCTGACAAATTTTTTTGGTGCAAGTTTGAGCTAAGGACAGAAAGGTTGTCGCTTTTTTCTCATCCTCAAATGTACAAGTCGTCTTCCACGTTGTTCAGAAAAAGACTGGCGAGGCATTTAAGCGCTTGTGCACTGATTGATTGTTGTGTTGAGGAAGTGTTATCGGGTTGCACTTAACAAATGGAAGTCAATGGAAATCAAAGTCAACAAATGTGATTAATATTCAGGAAGTCATTGATAACCCTCTCACCTGGTCGATCTTCATTCTTTGGAGAACATTGACTGTTTAGATTAACAATCAAATCACTCGCGTGGTTAATCGCTCCAATCAAACCGCTAATACTATTAGTCACGACACTTCCTTTCGTCCCTCGGATCCGTTTGCTAGAATCGGATTTCTTGGACTGACTTTGGGTGTTGGAAGGTTGAACCTCGCTATCGGAGTCGGAGGAATCTGATACCACCACTTCCTTTTTCTTTTTATTCTTTCTCTTTTTTGAGGTTGTAGTCGGAGCCATTGGAGCAGTAGAACTCGAATCGGGGGGTTTTTTTTTGGTGGTGTTGACAGGATCCTCATCTGGAGGTAAGTGTTTATTCACATTATCCCCAGTCGCGAAGTTGCCGACGAATACACGTTCCGCCAGCTCGTAGATAGGAAATGGCTTGTCTTTCAACTTGCCAAAGTTCCTTCTTGGATGAGCCTGAATGAGCTCGTCCCAGGTCCTTGCGTCGGCTGTAACCGTGAATTTTTTGCTGTCCCAACCAAAGCCGGATTGATCACAGAGGAACTTGTAGTCAAAAAACATAGTGCAGAGAGCATTCTTTTGGTTTTTGATCTGGTTGCAATTGAGATTTAACGAGAAGTATTCATTCAAACCATTCATGACTGCAGTCCAGCCTTCCTTCTTTAAATTTCCGTTATCGGTAGCATGTCCGGAAGACATTTCATCGTAAATCAATTCGAGGAGTTTGCATCTCTCCAGTGTCGACCAAGTATGGGGAGCATTTCCGTCTGCCGTTCCAGAGTCTTTGAGTGATTTGGAGTTCATCGCGGGTGGCTTTGAAGATATTGCTTGGGTCGGTGTCTTTGGGGTCGTACCCGGTGCCTTTGAGGTGGTTGCTGATGTCTTCGGGGTCGAATTGGATATGTTGATAGATGTAGCAGAAAATTGGTTGTCTGGTGGAAACTCAAGTGGAGGCGGCAGTGTATCTGATGCATCAGGCTGTGGAGCAGGGGGACACATTTGAAAGAGGGTGGGATCGATCATGTTGTGGTGTGGAGTGAGGCCTTGGGAGACGAGCGCTGGAGTCACCGTTTCTCCAAACAGGGGTGGGGCCGTTTCCACAAACAATAGCAAATTGGAAGAAAACATTTTTTGAGGGTCATTGAAAATTGACCCCTATGGTACACATTTTTTTCTAAAAATGATTTTTGCCAAAAAAAATTGAAAAATGGGTGTCCGCGGGTGTTGTGGTACGCGCCCTAAGAATCTGAAATAATATTCTAACTTTTGCTTAAGGTTTAGAAGTTATTGGTAGATTCATGTTAAAAAATGTTTATTTATGAATGTTTTTGGTTTATTTTTATGTTTTCTTTCATGACTAGTAAAACTTAATGTAATGAGTAATAATGTCTCTATTATAGTGATTCCACTTATTTAAATATTAATGTTTTTATATGTACATATGTAATAATGTCTCTATATTATGTACATATAAAATAGACATTAATTACATATACTATGGGGGTAGTATATGTAATAATGTCTATAAATATTTATTATGCTATGGTCAGGTTGTCTCTGAATAGTAGAAGGCTGACAAGGGGCATGCGATACTTATTTGTCTTGTAGGTGCAATGGAGGAATAAGATGTAGTGGAAATGACGGAGGAGCTGAAGCGAGTGGTTGTGACAGAAGAAAAGCCCTATAATCTCGCCAGAATTGTTTACCTTGGTTGCTTAGGTGAAGTCCTTTGTGAGGGTTCGATTAAGATGAACAATCGGGCTGAGTCCACGTAACTCTTTGGCCCAAGCCTTCTTTCTGGCGGAGTACACAGTTGAAATCGTGGCCAAGATCAACTGATCGGGATGTGTCTTCTTGAGTGATTGGAGAATCTGAGCTGGTTTTAAACCCGCGTCACCTAGTTTCTTCATTTGCTCATAGAGCTCCTTTGTGAGTTTTCGGTTGGCGGTGTGCCTGGACGGATCTTTGCTGGGTGCATGATTATGTCGGGGATTGGCCACGGTAAACTTCCATTCCCCCCCCCCCGGCCTTCATCTGGATCTGGGCCCTCGCGTCGAATGGGCAATCGATCAGTCGACTGACGATGGGCCCAGGGCGTGTGTCATTTTTCCGTTTGTTTCGAGCTGGGTTACCACCCCTACACATAAGATGCAGAAAAAGGACGGCCATTGAGTATGAGCTCTGATTTGAGTGCTATGCAGAAGGAGGACTTACCTGTCACATTTGAAAGTGATACTCTTCCGGGGAACAGTCCTCTTCCTGACAATGACGAAACCATTTTCCCGAGCAAAGGTTTTGATGGAGTGCTCGAGGATCAATGGGTCGGAATAAGTGGCCGCAGGAGGAGCGGGAATGTCTGTGTGTGGTGCTCGCGCTGGTGTTGGGGGGATGGTTGGGGTCTTCTTTGTTGTAGTTGTCTTATCTTCCGGATATGACTCGGGCTTGTCCTCCTCAGCGTTGTCGCCGGTGTTCTTATTGGCTCGGCTTGCGAGTAGCTCTAAGCATTTTTCGATGGTTACAATTTCATCATCTTCAGCTGTTTCTGCGTGATTTTCATAAGATTCTTGTTCATCTTCAGTGTCTTCAAGCTGGCAATTTACTTTCTTTTTTTGGGTGTTTGTTTGATTTTCTGTGTTTTTGGTGATGGGGCTGACTGTTGCCGTTGCCTTGGGTTTGACAGGGGGGGGGGTTGGTTTTCAGGGGGTCCAGTGACGGGGCAGATTGTTTCCTTGGGTTTGACGCCGGTGGGGGCAATGGTGGCGGGAGTTCCGGAGAAAAGTTGGGTTTTGGAATTGGCACCAGGGATGACAGATCCTACGGGGGCCAAGAGGCTTGGATCAAGCTTGGCCGGGTTGGGGGGGTTAACAACTGCGGTCTGGGATGCGACGACTCCCGCAGTTGGCACGACGACTGCCATCATTTGCTCGACGACTGCCGTTTTTTGCGCAACGACTCCCGGGGCCAAGGTGAGTCCGGTGGCGGGGGCGGCGGCGACGACTCCGTTCCGTGGGCTAGCGACGACGGCCGTCCCCGGCGTGACTACTCCCGTCTCTTGTGCAGCGACTCCCTCTCCGGCGTGGACGAGTCCTGTCCCGGCGGCGACGACGGCGGTCCCCAGCGTGACAACTCCCGCATCTCGTGCAGCAACTCCCTCTCCGGCTTGGGCGAGTCCCGTCCCGGGCGCGACGACTCCCGTTGCTCCAGCGGCGACTTCTGCAACGACTGCCGTGGCTCCTGCGGGGATTCCGACCCCGATGACAACCGGCTGTTCCGGCTGGTACCCGTCGGCGGTGACCATCGGCGGTTCTGGCCCGTCGGCGGTGACTTTCAGCGGCTCTGGCCCGTCGGCGGTGACCTTTGGCGGTGACCTTTGGCGGCTGTGGCCTGTCGGAGGTGTCCTCGGCGGTGACCTTCAACAACTCGGCGGCAGCCTCAGCCGTGGGAACCTCGGCGGCGTCAATCGAGGGCTGGAGCCCGTCGGCGGCGTCCTTTGGTGGCGCGAGCGCTTCGGTGGGGTTAGCGGGGATGGTGGGGTTGGACATGGTTTGGTTGGTTGGTTGGGTGGTTGGGTGGGTGGGGAGTCGGTGGGGGGAGTGGATATGGGTGTGGAGCGGCGACTCCTGCGTGGGAGAAGAAACAAGGTTTCTTCTCCCCAGCCGACTCCTAGGGATTTGTCGACGACTCCTGCAAGACAAAAAAAAAGCCCAGTTGTCAGTTTGGACAATTGGGCCATCGACTCCCTTTCCGTTCGGGGAAATTAGCCTGACGACTCCCAAGGAAAAAAAAGAATCAAAAAATTTAAGGATCAAATTTGGGGGGCGGACGACTCCCGAATTTTCAATTAAAAAAAATAAACAATCACCTGTGGAATTAGGCCGACGACTCCCGGGAATTGAAAGAGCAACTCCCAACCAAAACGGGAGTTGTCGACTAAAATTTGGGAGTCGTTTTTCCAAGCCCCATAAAATATTGGGCAATAATTTATTTTATTGTATATGTTTCACCGTTGTAGTCAAGCACCGGAAAACCATTTCAAAGGAGAAGTACAAACAAGCAACCAAGAAAAGAAACCAGTTGACAGGTAAGGAAATTGGACGTCATACCTAGCAATCAAACAAGAAATTGAAGAGTCAAATAAAGATAATCTTTAGTTTGAAGCAATTGCTCTACAAACTTTTGTGAAAGAAAACGCAATTCTCCCCGACAGCTTCACAAAGGCACAATAGTCAAATGAATGGCCGTCTTGGCAAAAAGCAATTTTTACTGAACTTGATTCAATAATAGAAAATGGAGTATTTGAAATAGTACCTAAGGACAAAAGAGATAAAACTAAAGCCCTAATCAACACTTGATGGGTACTAAACAAAACAATTGACACAGAAGGAGTTCTTAAACAATAGAAAGCCAGGTGTGTTGCTAGAGGCTTCAAACAAAAAGAAGGAATCGACTATGAAGAAACTTTTTCACCCACTGGCCAATGAAGCACCATGCAATACATACTGTACCAAGCAACTCAAAGGAAAATTAAACCCAGACAAGCTGACTTTGTTACAGCCTACCTTAACTCAAAACTTGAAGAAGATGAAGCCGTATACATGGGTAGATGACCTAATCTTGGTAGGAGACAACACTGATGAACCTATTAGCAATTTGGAAAAAGACTTTAAAATCAAAGACCTCGGAGTTGCGCAACACATATTAGGAACAAAAATAGAGTATCTAACTGACAACAGGATGTTCATAAACCAAGAACACTATATCAAGAACTTGGTTAGTATGGACTCTTGAAGAATAGGTGTGGCTATGGAGATTTCTTCAGTAAGGTATGTCTAATATGTCTTGTTTCTACTGGTCAAAATATACTTGTTCACAAATCAAGTTATCCCAAATGTTGATGGGCATATACCTGGCTAATATTGGGTGATCAGTTATCTGGCTTACTGGGGCAGGATCTGAGATCTCCTATGGAGAGCGTCCCCCAGGGATGCGCCAGGAGAGGCTTTTTTAAGCTAGTACATTCTAAACACACCCCCTGTGGGTTTCCTGACCCCCCACAGTCCCCTGCTTGGCTTCTATTTTGTTCCTTCAAAATGGCATAAGTTGTAAGGGTACACTTACATTGATGTCTGTTATTTCACTGTCCCTCAATACCTCTGCTGACCCACTGCTTCTTTTAAATTTTCACACACTGTGACACAGATAGACAACAGCATAAGCACAAAAGGACAATATTTTCACTGAGCCAAGATTCTCTTATAAACCTTGAATTCCTCCACAGGAACAACAACTTCAATAGCTTGAAAAGCTTCAAAGAATTCAACAAGGGGCAGACCTGGCACTGCTGATATCTGTAATTTTGTGGTCCACAGTCCTCCCTTGAGAATACCCTTGTTAGATTTCTTATGTCTTCCTCCCCCACGCGTCCGCATCCTCTCAAATTTTCTTCTCTTTTTCTCAAAATCAAACTTTTTTTGCCTGGAGTTCTTTTTGGCTTTAACTGTTTGTACATGCCTAGAATTATAATCATCATACGATCATAGAACAGAACAATAAGAGTAAAAGTACAAAACAAGAAGACTGCCGTTGAGAATGTAGACAAAAAATTTAATATTGCGCATGAACATTACAGTTGGATGCAATAGTCAATTTATCAATTAGCAAGAAAGTGTAAGACTTAGGCAGCAATTATAAACGGGTTTTTTTTTCAGATTTTCTTATTTTTTTTTTTATTTTGTAATTTTGAACGTTTGTAAACTCAACTGATGAAAAAGATTAAATGTAAATACATATTTATTTATTTATTATTTTAACAACAATGTATAATATTTTCCTGTATTCAATTAGTTATTATTATTTGCACTTACTAGGTACATTTCACGTACTGTGAAAGGTGCTCTGTGGCTGACAGATTCTGTGTCACTCGGGCTCTTGCACGTGATAATTAGGAGGAATGCTTACTTGATTGATAGGAGCCACATGAGGCCTGTTGGGTGTGCGCCGGATCCATAGGTTTGACGGCTCATTGTTTGGTGCGTTGGGCAGTCCCCCGGAAGATAGGCAGTGTTGGTAGACCATCCCATAAATTCTTGTAATGGTAAGTGCGTTGTGGTGGCGAGAGCGCGCCTTGACCAAAGCTTTGGCCAGGTTGTGTGAGGGCATGGGGAATGCTCGCGGCTGATGCGGAAAGAATGCGGAGCTGACACTATGCATGCAAGCTGAGGAAAGCGGCGGTGCATTAGTGGAAAGTTTAGCTTTCCAAGGCGCGTGAGCGCGGGGAAAAGTAGACCCAATGTGCAAGGTTCTGAAAAGTTTGCTGCGGGGAATCCGGGCACTGGCGGACACCGGGGTTCACGGACGACTGCAGAACAGTGGTTCAGCGTATACTGCGGAGGGGCTACAAGGAGCGGGGGCACCGAGGGGCGGAAGCGGGGTTTGGAGCGGACCAGAGGCGGAAGCGGCGGTGAGAGACCTGTCCATGAGCGGCCGGAGGAGTACCTGGACCGACAGGCGTTGGAGGGGTGACAAGCAGAGTCCAAGGGAGTGACAGCGGAGGACATCGTGGGAAGCAGGAGGAAGCTTGAGTGTGGGAAAATTGGGAAGAGTGGAGTTCGGAGTGGAAGAGAAAGGAGGAAGGGGGGGACTTATGACAGAGAACATATCAGAAAAACAGAGTGACTTAGGAGTGAATCGTGTATTAGCCTAAAGAATTGTTAGAGATAGAAGAGAGTTAGAGTGTTACTACCAAAACCAATAATAGAATAGTTATTTTTACCTACCTACAAGACCATCAAGCAAGTTACCCCGGACAACTGTTGAAATTCTGTAATCCACAGTGTTCTAATATCAGCACATCAGGTATGGACTTGGTAGCCTAGTTGGTAAAGGCAGCACTTCTAGTATAGTGTCTTAGCTTCAAGCTAAGGTCGCTGGTTCAAATCCTGCCCAAGTCAATCATTTTATGCTAACTGTCTGAAAATGCATTGTTAATTTTAACAACAACAAACCGGAGTAGGACGCGTTGCGGAGCGGAGAAGTACAAGAAATCTCCAAGGGCGTGCCTTACTTTCCACAGCGTCCGTGTCTGGAATAGGACTATCGAGTGTGTGGTTGTGATTGGACATCTGGTTGCCTACTTTTCCTTCTGCCTGCCACCAGAGGACGGGGGGGGGGGGCAATGCACCTGAGGTTTCTATGTGGTTTTTGGGTGCCTCACCAGAGTAGGGTTATGATCTTCTTGAGACTTCTTTTCTCAAGAAGATCATACCCAACGCATGAAGGCTGTTCAAGGAACGTGGCAATCATCCACCACTCAATCATGACCACTTCAACCAGGCGGACTCCTTGGGAAAACAACAGACAACCAGGTGGACCCGACAGCCTGTCGGTATTATTCAATTGGCTCAAGGGCGGCAATCATTATGCCCGATGGCGAGGAGGTCAAAACAAGACATTGTTCTATTGGGATCTCCTAGCTGAATTCACTAAGCACGGCATACACCATCACACTCGGTCTGGTAAGCCCCTTACGTACTCTCCAGTGCCTGCAAGTGTCTGATGTGTCCATTCTCTCAGATGCCAATGTGATGCTCAGCTACCTTCAAATGAGCTACAACGCCGGGTCACACTTCCTGACGAAGAATGGTGACCCGTTGGCCTCGGGCAATTGTTCTCGTGATCATCCTACCATACAAGGTCAGCTGCTGGCGGTTGTCATAAACTATAACGTAGATTGTGAGCGCTGATCACTAATGCAGTGCCGCGTATGAACACCAGCCCAACTTAGGCAAATATTCCGCCACTGGGATCATCTCAACGAGTTCATGGAAGTCGGGCCAGGGCCCACCTCTGCTTGGGAAATTACCAACGCTTAGATCGGAGATTGCAAGGCCTGCTTGACCCTAGTTGTAACTTCAAGGTCATTATTTGTCTTTGACCAAGGTCATTGTCTTTGACACAATCAGAAGATCAATTTTGTGTTTTTCATCTAAGAAATACATTCACCGGTGCAGATGCAATGAACCTATGATTTTCATGTCAAATAAACCACACCCCCCTTTGGGCCCGGGGGTGGGGGGCAGGACAAGATCAAAAGGAATGGGAGAGAGAGGAGAGGCAGGAACATGAATAGACGTAATTGTGTGGGTGTGCAAGGACAACATCCAAAGATATAAGACAAAAAACCAAATGAGTCATCATTTTGCGGGTCCGCAAGGACATCATCCAAAGATCTAAGAAACAAAGCCAACTAGAATCTTAGACCGCTTCATCTTCTGCTTGAGCCAGCCCCACCAGCAGGAGGTGCATCATCCGGATTGGCCACCGCAAAGCCCATGGCCTTGAGCATCGCAAGCTCAAACATTTGCCATGACTGCTGCTGTCTCTTGGCCCAATCTTTGCGCTCCTGCGCCTCCTTCTTCTCTTCTGCTTTCTGATCCAAATACCGCTGCCGCTCACGCTTCCGATCCTCTGCCCCCTCCCGTTCCATCTTCATCTGATGATCGGCCACCTCACGGTCAAGTTTTGCCTGTTGACGCAGCAGCTCCCGATCCTCCTTGGCCTCTTGCATTTCTTGCCGGTGTGTGACCTCCATGGCATCCGCCCTCTTCTCCGCGGCCCGCCTGTCATCCGCTCGTAATTCATCTTGACGCTTCAGCTCCGCCGCCCGCTCATCCGCTTGGGCCTCCTTCAACCGCTGCCTATTGGCTCGCTCCTCCGCGCGAAGGGTGTCCTGTCGCGCTCGCTCAACCAGGGCATCACGGTGTTCCTCAGCGGCCCATGATGCTGTCGCCTCCTGGGCCTTCTGCATCATGACAAGCATTCCGGTCCCAGAGGCATCATTGTGACTCTTCTCCTTGGTGCGCCCACGTTGTTGAGGGATACTAGAGCCTTCGGCTGGATGGCGGCTGATGGTATTTTTTGCCGCACCCAATTTGACCTTGATCTTGGTCCCCTTGCGGGGGACCAAAGGGGTTGTGGCTGGACTTCCTGGGATGTTGGCAACTGAGCCCCCCACAACCGCAGTGGGGACAGTCCCCTGCAGCCCAGCCAAACCGGTCGAGGTCCCAGGGGGGCCCAAAACAAGCTCTGCAGGTAGGTCTGTATCAGATTCCAAGTCGGGATCCAAGGCGAGTTTTGCTGGGGTCAGGCCGGCTGATAGCCGTTGGTACTTGGTGAGCCTCTTCTTCTGGGGGGCAGGCGTTGTGGGGAGGCTATTGGGCTCATTGACGTCCAATGACCCAGAGTTGCCAGAACTGACTGATGGGGGTGATTCCTCCAGCAGGGTTTCATAATCGGCATACGAACTAGATAACCCCTCACCGGTTGCTGCCGGGTTATCCCCGTGCATATCAAGGATCAAGTCCCAAACCTAACCAAAGGGTCAGCAATTGAGTACAACGTCTGATCAATGAATCACCAGCATACCTCTTGGGAGACACCGCCTGCTTCCAAAGCCAATGATAATCCGCCCGCCCCAGACCGGTCCACAACGTCTTTTACTTTCTAAGGAAAACAACCATGTTAGCCATGAAACCCCTATCTATCTGATGATAGCCCCAGCCAAAAACTGACCTTCCACTTATCCATCAGGGCACGATATTTGGATAGACGGGTGGCAGTCGAAAAGGATTGCAGGAGGGGGAATGCCTCTGGACGGCCAGTATAAGCCGCGAAGTAATTCCCAAACGGTATAAAACCGCCTTTCACCTGACTATGGTCCTCTTTGACCATCCTCACAAAATTCAACAGCTCAATTGTCTGTTCCTCTGTCCAGGTCACCCAAGGGGTTGTCAACTCAGCCTTCTGAGCCTTGAGGATCTTGTTTGCTGCAATGGTCGCATGCTTCTGACGAGCTTCTGCGGCCTTATCAGCTTGGTTCTGAAACCTACGCGCGCGTTTCTCGGCCGCAATGAGGTTGGCCAATTGCATCTCCTCAGCCGTACGTTTGGGCTTCCAAGTACGTACACCGCCGTTAGCCAGAATGGTGAACGGGACGGAGGATCCACCAGGGGAAGGTGTCGGGATGTCTGCAGGAGGCTGAATAGGCGGCTGTTGATCGTTGACCGGTAGAACTTGGTGCAGGGGGGCTGAAGGAATCAAACGGGTTACCAAGCCGGCAGGGTAGTCATGTGGTGAAGTCTGATGATGGGAGAGCATGGGTGTTACCTTGCCAGCCCCGGGCCGTAATCCCGCGTGCACTGGACCCGCCGTTGCGAGGTGAGGTGGCCGCGTTGTGAGAGTGCCTTGGCCCAAGGGGTTATCAGCCCTGTGGTTTTGCACAGCCAGGCCGTGAGTGGCGCCGTCCGGATACAAACTTCCTTGACCAGTGGAGATGGGGAATGCCAATCGGGATGGACAGTGTTCTGATTGCTTGTAGGCGGGGTGGTTCACAATTGATTGCCCTCCTGCTCCTTGGTTAATCCGGGCCGTTTTACCGTAGCCAAGTGGATGTGAGCCGTGGGTGTTACTGGCAATGTGGTGCTTGGATTGGTGAATCTGTGGATGTAAGCCATGGGTGTTACTGGAGACGCGGTGCTTGGATTGGTGATTCTGGGACAATTGGCTCCAATCGTCGGCAGGGGAGGGATGAGGGTGGATGACACGTGTCAGCCTACGTGATGCCAAGATGTAAAATCTTCTAGCTACACGTGGTGCAAGAGTAATCAAAAAGCTTATAGATTTTCGGTTTTAATTTTAAAGGAATAAATTCCAATAAAACAAGGGAATTTATGGGTTTACTTAATAGGAAAAATGGCCAATTTATATTAATGAAATTAATATAAATAAAACCAGAGGGGCCTGATGAATCAGGGGTGGTTTAATCCCTCTAAGGTATTGTGCAAAAGCAGAGGATTTAGGTACCTGGAACACTTTGGCCTGTGAACAGGTGTGGTTTGAATCCCAGGAAGAATTTAAGGGGAAAATATCAAGAAAAGGGTTATTACTTACTAGTAATAATCCTATGGGGTCTTGAGGATCTTCAAAGTTGAAACTGGACAGTTGGGAGCACTCAGAAAGGTTGATTTTGGGTGCTGGGTGATAAATGTTGAGTTTCTTGGGGAATTTTGAGGCTTTAATAACAGCAATAATAGTAGTAACTAGGCTAATTACAAGTGTAGGGGACTTGTAAATGGTAAGTATGTTTCTATATGGTATTGTAAAGCTGGGGGATCATCATTTGGGCGGTCAGAAGGCTCTTTAAGTACCTTTGGAAGGCCTCAGGGGTTGCTCAGGGGAGCTTAGTAGGTCTTGGGAGCGCTTCTGGGCCCATTTTAGCCCACTTAGTGACACAACAAGGGCTTAAACCTTGAGGATAATGTTCTAGAAGCTCCAAGGGATCATGCACAAATTCATTTGAACCAAGAATATACCTTGGGAACCTGTGGGCAAGGGCTAGTCTGTTACGTGGAGCTTTTTCCTTGGAAATGGGCCACAGAATATCCAAGAGGTGGTTTCTGAGGCTTGCTACACGTGTTAACACTTGGAATATAGAGTATTCTAGGCTACTGTCATATTCTAGTTTGTTTATATTTTTATTACACGTGTGGAGGCTTTGTTGTCACGTGTAATGAGGATTCTGGGGCGCTTGTGGCCCATTTCTTGGATACTGGTAACCCAGGGGGTTTTATGTGTGTATCCAAGGTGGTTATGCATATCTAGCACGCACGGGGGCTTGATTATTGGGCTCAATTGTAGTCAAGCGCGCCTGTCAACAGTGCGTAGCATGACTACGCGGCGCGCGGGCTTGGAGACAATACACGCCACTCAACTCTATCTTCTAAACTATACACAACACTCCAAATCTGAGACAAGATTTGGAGTGTATGCTTATTTTTATGTATAATGCATATTTATTCAGGTGCCCGTTGATCCTTGGGTACCTGTTAATTCTTCAAGTGAGTATTACTGGATGAAGGAGTTACAAATAGGGGTACCTTTGGCTGAGGTACCCTAGGTTAAATTGTATGTAGATTCAGAATCTGCAATAATAATCATAGATTTCTGTATTATTCCTAAGTTAATTCTATTTTTTATGTATTTTTATATTATTTACATAAGTAATAGAGTTTATTTTTACTTTATACTTAGATTTTTTATGTAATTTATTATTTTTATTTGCTTATGACAGGTTGTCTCTGCCATAGTAGCAAGCTGACAACACGGTTTTACAGTGGTCAAAAAGCGTCTTGATTGTGCGGCTCAAGCGGGTGAGTGGACCCTTGGCCAGGTGGGTGATGCCCTGGCGGATATCCTGGGTTCATCGCAGCAAGTATGTGTGGTGATAAACCCTACAGGCGGTTCAAGGAAGGAGCAGGCTAAAACAGGACGGGCCTAGCCATTTGGCCAAACCAATCTCAGTATTCTGTATTGCCAGGGATGCTGATACAGCCCGTAAGGGCTGTATCATCATCCCGTAAGGCCTGTATGAGGAATCCATAAGACACACGCTATTTTCTTGGTCCTCAAACCACCTCCTGGAGGTTGTTTGAAAGTTGTTTGAGTCAAAAAAAAAATTTAAAAAAAAATTGCAAAATTTCAAAACATAACACAAAAAAAAATGTTGTTTATAATTGCTGCCTTAATAAACTGCATAAAAAGAGGATGGTTGGTTGAATTAGAAGAAGTCAAGAAATTAGACTATGAAGACAATAGCTCTTTGATGCGACTTTTGGCAAAGGTCCTTTTGATGCTAGTGAGTCAGTTAAGTGAGAAGACAGGTGTTTCCAATTGTCATTTAAAGAAA